CACCCTCACAGCAAAGAATTTCTTCCTAATGTCTCACCTAAATCTCCCCTCTTTCAGTTTAAAACCATTACCTCTTGTCCTATCACTGCCCTCTCTTGTAAAAAGCCCCTCCCCAGCTTTCCTGGAGCCCCTTCAGGCACTGGAAGCTGCTCTAAGGTCTCCCTGGAGCCTTCTCTTCTCCAGGCTGAACACCCCAACTCTCCCAGCCTGGCTGCTCCAGCCCTCCCAGCATCTCCGTGACCTCCTGTAGACCCAAGTCTTGCTCCAGGAGCTCCATCTTCCCCAATGAAAACCCAGCTCAGCTCTTAGACCCTATGAAATCCCTACCCCCATTTTCACTCCAAGAAAGGAAGTTTCATGCAGCTTTGTCATAGCTCCCCATCCACATCTGCAGAGATTGACATCCTTGAAATTGGAACAGAAGGTCAAATCCATCTCTTGCTTTTGCCTCATAAAGTGCTAACCCAGAACCAAGACTGTAACAATCCCAAATTGCCTGAAATCAGCCACAAAGTAGGTAGTGAGGTTTCTTCTCATTTTGGTTTGGCCACCAGCATCATAGTGTCCAGGTGCCTTGGGATCAATCAACCTCTTTGTTGGGTTCCAGAAGTCAAATGGATTAAATCAGCAATAAATTTCTTCTTCCATTTCATTTCAGCATTTGTCAGCAAAACTAAATCCTTCCATATAAAGAAGGAGTTTGGGGATAGGTTGTATTTTTTATTCTTTTCCTTCAGCTGTGCCCTTCATCTCCCCTGAGCCCCATGGTTTTTTGGGGGGTGTCATTGTCCTAAGATGCTCCAGAGATGTTCCCAACCTTCACCTGAGGATGATTTGAGGACCATTCCAAATTATCAAGCAGGCATTTCTTTTGAAATGTTACCTTCTGTGTCAAATGTTTTCACCACAAAACTTCCACATGTTGGTTCTGCTCATGCTCAATTCATTTGCCCTGAGCTTGGCTGGAGATTTCTTTGGATTTTGACCAATTCCTCCCCTGGCAGAATATTTACAGTGATTATCTCAGCCATGGACACTCCCAGGAAAGTGTGAGGAGAAAATTGTGATGGGCTTGTGAAGCTCTGGTGCTGCCATAAACTGGTGGGGGAAACAAAACCCAGCAGTCAAAAAAAAGAAGGATATAGAATCATCAAGGTTGGGAAAGTCCTTGAGGGTCACCAAGTCCAACCTGCAACCCCTGACCACTCAACCACCTCCCCAGGCACCATGTCCACCCCTTTTTTGAACCCCTCCAGGGATGGTGCCTTCACCACCTCCCTGGGCAGCCTGTTCCAAGGTCTCACCACTCTCTCTGTGAAGATATTGTTCCTAATACCCAGTCTGAACCTCTCCTGGAGCAACTTGACCCCATTTCCTCTGCTCCTATTGCTGGTCACCAGGGAGAAGAGCCCAACACCCACCTCACCACAACCTCCTCTCAGGTCTCCCCTCAGCCTCCTCTTCTGAGCCCCCAGCTCCCTCATGCAGCCTGTTCCAAGGTCTCACCACTCTCTCTGTGAAGATATTGTTCCTAATACCCAGTCTGAACCTCTCCTGGAGCAACTTGACCCCATTTCCTCTGCGAACCTTGCTGGTCACCAGGGAGAAGAGCCCAACACCCACCTCACCACAACCTCCTCTCAGGTCTCCCCTCAGCCTCCTCTTCTGAGCCCCCAGCTCCCTCATCCCCTCCTCATCAGACCTGTTCTCCAGACCCCTCATCAGCTCAGTTGCCCTTCTTTGCCTTTGGTTTTTTTACAGGAGCATCTTTCCACCAACCCCTGTCCTGAGCCACCTCTTTACAAACCAGTTCCCTCCTTGACATCCTGAAAGACTTAGATGATTTTTTAAAAAATGTTTCTCCAGAGCTTCTGGGCTCTGCTCACCCATTTTGATGTCTTCTGCTAAAACCCACTGCTTCCTTTCTGGAAACACTGGGAAAAATGATGGCAGAGCATGGGATGGTGGGATTAAGTTCACAGTGAGGCCACTTCTGGACCCTTGGGAAGCATCAGGTGTTTTCTTTTGCAGCCAAAGCTGGAGGTGCAGTTCCTGCTGTAGCTCACCAAGGGTCCTTTCCTGGGACACCCTCCTAACTGAAGCCTGCAAATCCATACACAGGTGCTCAAAAAGCCAGGGGACACCTTCAGCCCAACCTGTGGTTGCAAAGGTTTGCAGGGTGAGAGCTGGAATGTCACCAGGTCACTCTTGGAATCCTGAAGGAGATGGAGGAGCTCTGAGGGCAACACAGAATCAAAGAATCCCTGAGCTTGGAAAAGACCTTGAAGATGATTTGAGTCCAACCATTGACCCTACTCTACCAAGTCCAGCATTAAGCCATAAACCCAAGCACAACATCAGTGGGAAGGAGAAGACAATGGACCTACAACCCCCTGAGCTGGATACCTGGAGGCTGGATGGAAGAAGGTTTATTTCAAAATAAAACCACAGCTTCAGAGGTGCTCAGAGATTGGTTTTCCCTCTCAGCTTTGTTTCCCCACATCCCCATCAGCTGCTCAAGTGCCCTGTCTGGTGTCAAACTGGGTCCTCGGAGGCTCCATCACCTTCATATTTTTGGGGGTTGTTTCGGTTTTTAATTTCAACGTTCTCAGCAAAAGGCACTGAACACGTCCTGGTGCTGGGCTGGGCTGGCTGGAGAAGAGGTGAGGGCCCCCAG